TGAATATTAGATGTAACCACTCTGCGAACTGCACATCCCTAAAGGAATAGAATCTAGGTTATCCAGAAACGCTTCTAGCAAAATATTTTTTGAGAATAAAAAGAAAGAATACGAGAAGAACTTAATGGTAGAAGGTTACAAAACCAAAATAGAATTTAAACCTTAAATTAAACATCTGAAGAAAAATTCATGGAAATGAAAAAATATCCTTTGGTTTAATCCTCCATTAACTTAGACGTAAAATGTAAAATAGGAAAATTATTTTTCAAGTTACTTACTAAACAATTCCCTAAAAATTCAGAATTACATAAAATATTCAATAAAAACACAATTAAATTAAGCTACAGTTGCACTAGTTATTTAGAAACAATAATAAATAGACAAAACATCAGAAATTTCAAAACTAACGAGCTGTAAAATTTAGTTAACACTAATAATTTATGCAACTGTAGAAATAAAAATAAATGTCCATTAGATGGAGCTTGTAAAACAGAAGTAATAATCTATAAAGCAGAAGTAACAGATAGTAATGACCAAAATAAAACGTACTTAGGATGTACTGAAGGCATTTTCAAATGTAGATGGTACAATCATAGGTTGTCATTTAAGCTAGAAAATCTTAGGTACTCTACCAAACTAGATAACCATGTGTGGAATTTAAAGGAAAAAAAACAACAGGGGTCCCATTGAAAGGTGGAATATTTAAAAAAAGAGAAAGACTTACAACAATTACAACAATATTTGCAACCTCTGCCAAAATGAATAATTAGCAATTATGATATTTCCGGATCCAAAAAAATTCTTAAACCACAAATCTGACGTCTTGAGTTCTTGCTTACATATTGGGAATTTCCTCTTAAGCACATATGAGGTGAGATAAAAAATATATACATTTCAATTAGCCTCCACATTCTTACATTTATAATAGCCGCCTTCTTCTTCTTCTTCAAACTAGTAAATTCTTCTTCCTCTTCTCCTCCTTCTTATTCTTCTTCTTCTTGAATTTTTTCTTCTACTTCTTGATATCCTCCTCCTCCTCCTTCTTTTTCTTCTTCTTCTAATCCTCCTCCTTCCTCCTCTTTAAATGTTTTTCTTCTTCTTCATTTTTCTTCTTCCTCCTCCTCCTCCTCCTCCTCTTCTTCTTCTTCTTCTTCTTCTTGAAAATTCTCCTCTCCTCCTTCCTCCTCCTCTTCTTCTTCTTCTTCTTCTTCTTCTTTTCTTCTTCTTCTTCTTTCTCTCTAATATTACATCCAATGCTGTGCCTTTGTTTATTTATTTAAAAAAAATAATATACCATTCATTAGTTGTTTTTTTTTTTTTAAGTAAAGCGTTAAGAGGTCATTTGATAATAATCGCCTGAGGAGACCGTAAGTTTGAAACGAAGGTAGTGGATTCAACTAACCTCCTGATTTTAACCGACACCCGGGATGATGTTTTCCTGATTACTACAATCTTAATCTGTTCATGACTAGGTTTAACTGTTATCTATCTCGACATATCCGCATAATCTTACTCTGTAATCCTCTATCTCGAGAGGCGCTCAGGCCTTTTACAAGAGCAACCGTACTGTAAAAAAGAAAAAAAAATGATTGCCCACATATTCGGTCCACATTATCCTCAGCATTCTTCTGTAGAACCACATTTCTGTTACTTAAAGTTTTCTTCTTCATCTTTGAGGAGATTGTCCAGGATTCACTGTCATATAAGTGAACTGATATCACGTAACAGGTCAGTATTCTTTACTTTGTTTCTAATAAAGATTTTCCTGTTTCTTAGTACTCTGCTTAGCTTTTGGAAAGCATCTTTGGCTTTCCCAATGAGCCTTCAGATTTCATTATTACGCTTTCGGTTCTCTGTTAAAACACTTCGCAGAGATTTAAATTTTTATTTGTTTGATTTTGGTATCTCCGGTTTTGGCATTTTCATTTTGGTTTGGTTTGGTTTGGTTTGGTTTGGTTTGATTTGGTTTGGTTTGGTTTGGTTTGATTTGGTTTGGTTTGGTTTGGTTTGATTTGGTTTACGGCATATCAACCTCAACCTCAAGCGGTTATTTAATGCGGACAAGATTTTTATTGCTGGTAATATATTTGTTCCAAAATGGTAATATTTCTTTTTCCAAAAATGTGTTGCTGCTAATGTTTTTTCTTCAAAAATGTATTGCTGATAATTCATATTTTTTTTTTCAAAAATGTATTTCTGGTAATATTTTTTTTTTTCAAAATGTATTGCTGGAATTTTTTTTTTTTTTCAAAAAATGTGTTGCCGGTAATAATTTTGTCTCTCAAAAATTCATTGCTGGTAATAATTTTTTCTCTCAAAACTTCATTGCTGGTAATAATTTTTTCTCTCAAAAATTCATTGCTGGTAATAATTTTTTCTCTTAAAAATTCATTGCTGGTAATAATTTTTTCCTTCAAAACTTCATTGCTGGTAATAATTTTTTCTCTCAAAAATTCATTGCTGGTAATAATTTTTTCCTTCAAAACTTCATTGCTGGTAATAATTTTTTCTCTTAAAAATTCATTGCTGGTAATAATTTTTTCCTTCAAAACTTCATTGCTGGTAATAATTTTTTCCTTCAAAACTTCATTGCTGGTAATAATTTTTTCTCTCAAAAATTCATTGCTGGTAATAATTTTTTCTCAAAAATCCATTGCTGGTAATAATTTTTTATCTCAAATATTCATTGCTGGTAATAATTTTTTATCTCAAAAATTCATTGCTGGTAATAATTTTTTCTCAATAATTCATTGCTGGTAATAATTTTTTATCTCAAAAATTCATTGCTGGTAATAATTTTTTCACTCAAAAATGAATTGCATGTATTAAAACCTATTTTCACATTTTCATAGTGTTTTTGCCCCAGTTTGCGAGTTAACTATTTGCCCATAGTTGGGATCCTAACAGGTGCTACCACCACGGGTCAGGGTGGACCAGCAATTAAAAGGTGCTTCCACTCTCCTCAAAAGGTCCTGGTCAGAAGCCTTGCAGTTGGATATAGTTTATAGTCTTACCCGGGATACGGATGTAATTTATCTTTTAACCCAGGACAGCGGATGCAATTTATCGTCTTACCCGGGACGCGGTCGGGTTTGGGGTTTAACTATTAGCTGAGAACCTATGGAATTAAACCACCCGCGTCAGGATGGACCTGAAACACCAGCAATTAAGAGATAGTACCTCGCTCCTCAAAACCTCCTGAACAGAGGCCTTTTATCGTTTATCGTCTTACCCAGGACGCGGTCGGGTTTTTGTTTAACTGTTGGCTTTAGAACCTAATAGGTGCTACCACTCCGCGTCAGGGTGGACCTGGAAACACCAGCAATTAAGAGATAGTACCTCGCTCCTCAAAACCTCCTGAACAGAGGCCTTTTATCGTTTATCGTCTTACCCAGGACGCGGTCGGGTTTGGGGTTTAACTATTAGCTGAGAACCTAATAGGTGCTACCACTCCGCGTCAGGGTGGACCTGGAAACACCAGCAATTAAGAGATAGTACCTCGCTCCTCAAAACCTCCTGAACAGAGGCCTTTTATCGTTTATCGTCTTACCAGGACGCGATCGGGTTTGGGGTTTAACTATTAGCTGAGAACCTAATGCAGGTGCTACCACTCCGCGTCAGGGTGGACCTGGAAACACCAGCAATTAAGAGATAGTACCTCGCTCCTCAAAACCTCCTGAACAGAGGCCTTGCTGTTGGATGTCGGTTATCGTCTTACCCAGGATGCAGATGTCGTTTATCGTCATACACATGACGCGGATGTAGTTTATCGTCATACCCAGGACGGTTTTGAGATCATCCATTTGCTAACTACTATGCATTCTGTTTTCTTGCAATTGTTGATTAGTCTTTTCTTCTAGCTTTCTTTTACTACTTTCTGTAGGAGGTTTTGTAGTTTTCTTTCTGTGCCTGCTATCAACTCACCGTGGGCTGTTTAAATATATATATATGTGACGCGTTAGATGGGGCGTATTCAACAAAAAATAGAAAAATGCTTTTTTCACTGCAAATTATTCATTATATCGTATGCAATTATTTTACACAAAATTACAACCGATTATACAATATTTTAAACTCAATTTAGGTTTACAGTTCATAACCATGCGATGAGATGAGGTAACATAAAACCGTAGATTTATCTGCAGAATATCATTACACTATTGTTACATAATTATAGTTAAATCATTCCTTTTTTTTTCAAAATCATTTTATTTTGGGTCATATATTAATTTAAAATATTCCTTTTTACAGGCTTTATTTTTGAAATAGAATAAGATCATTCTAAATTTCAGAATTTCGCTATTGCCCATCAAAATGACTAGAAGAAAGCAATCTAAAAACAACAATGTAAAAGAGAGGTAACAAAGCGTAAACAAAATGGCCTCAGTTTATTCAACTAAGGAAACTTAGCATTGCAGCCAAAGTATTCTGAAATGCTGCCAATAACAAAGGCGAAAATGAAAAATATAACATATTTATAACATATTTATGTTATAATTTTCGTATAAATAATAATAATAATAATAATAATAATAATAATATTAATAATAATAATAATAATATATATGATTATTTATTTAAAAATATGATTATTTTTAAATAAATAATTATATTTATGCTCTACTTTTGTATCGAGCACTATTTTTAAAAAATAATAACAAAAATACTAAAGAACTTTGGATTATTTACCTAATGAGTTCTTTCCTATTTTCTATATATTTTTACAACCCCCCACACGCACGCGCACGCACACACACACACACACACACACATATCTATCTATATATATATATATATATATATATATACAGAGAGATAATATTTTGGGAACAGGTACTAATTTTTATTAGGATTTAATTTAATAGCTGTATTTAAATGCTTTAACGTATTTTGTAAATGTGAGAATTGTGATAAGCGGACCGCGACTGGCCATGGTTATATAACCACGCCCTAACGCGCTAATTTTGGTCATACACCCTTTGACGCCACGTGTCTCGTGAATGAATGTTAAGCGGCAAATGACAACCGCAAGTTTCGCTCGTGTGTGCACGCACATCGATACACGCTTCTCGTCACGCCCTGCTCTTCTTGTTGCTGTTGTTTTTATAGTGGCTCTTCTTCTTCTTCTTCTTCTTCTTCTTCTTCTACTTGTTCTCCTCCTATTTTTCTGCTTCTTCTTCTACTACCATTCTTCTTCCCCTCTTTTTCTTCTTCTTCTTCTTCTCCTCCTCTTCTTCTTCTTCTTCCTCTTTCTCCTCTTCTTCTTCTTTTTTAATTCTTTCCCTTATATTTTTCTCCTTCTTTTTCTCTTTTTCTTCTTCACCTGTTGCTTCTTCTATTCTTCTTCTTCTTCTTCTTCTTCTTCCCTTCTTCTATTCTTTTCTTCTGCTTCTTCTTCATTTTCCTTCTTCTTCTCTATTTTCTTCTTCTCTCATCCATCTATTCCACTTCTCCTCATTTTTCTACTTCTTCTCCTTCTATTCTTCTTCTTCTCCTCCCCCTCCTCCGATTTTTCTTCTTCTTCCTATTTGCTTCTTCTTCTCCTACTATTCTTCTTCTTTTCCTCTTTTTCTTCTTCTTCTTCTTCTTCTTTTGCCTTCACTTTTGTACATCAATTTCACGTCTTTTAGCAAAATTATCCGAATGTTTTACAAGCCCTTCCGGCTACATCTGTCGCCATTATCAAGGATGAATTGTATTTTACTCTTAACTGAATGTCTGCATTGTTCTATGTATGCATCTAGAGGAACATTTTATTTTCCAAACACAGCGTTTGGAAAACATTATGACAACTTTTATTTAATTTATGTCCTGAAAAGCGAAAAAATATACGAACACATTAGAAATTATATAACACAAAAAAACTCTAAATCCACCATACCTTTGTTTGTTGTTTTCAACGAAGTTTGCATAAAAAAGATTTCTGCCCAAATATATATATATATATATATATATATATATATATATATATATATATATATATATATATATATATATATATACTATTTTTAAATATATTGTTAAACATACATTTAAATGTCCTTATAATCATTCTAAAGTTGGCTCATATGAGCCAAAAGTTTATATCAAGGACCAATTTAATAAAAAATATCCAAATGTTGGACAATTTTGAAGCTCTCTGGGGGAGGAAGTGTGGGTTTGTAAACAGTGACTATTACGGCTATTATAAAAAATCTCTTCAGTGAAGCGAATCAAGTCCTCTCAATTACTGTGTGTTTATCTAAAAATAAATGCGCTAAAATTTACCCTTACCCCTGCCGTGGTAGAATTCCGACTGGCGCCAATTCAGCCGGGTTTTGATCCTAGCTAAAGGCAACCGATCGTCTAGCCACACTGAAGAGCTGTGATACAGATGACAATAAATAGGCTGCTGAAAAATTTATTTCGGCTGAGCTCTCTGTGGGAGGAATTGTGAGTTTGTAAACAGTGACTATTACGGCTATTATAGCAAGACTCTTCAGTAAAGCGAATCGAGTTCTCTCAGTCACTGTGTGTTTATGTAAAAATAAATACGTTAAAATTCACCTTCATCTCTGCCGTGCCTCGACGGCTTAGTGGTAGAATCTTCGACTGACGCCGGGTTTCGATCCTCGCTAGAGGCAACCGGACGTCTGGCCACACTGAAGAGCTGTGATACAGCGAAGCAATCTGTCTGGTGATGACAATATACAGGCTCCTGAAAATATGATTCAAACATATATATATATGTTAAATATAGCAGACAACGAATGTATTTTATGTTTGATCATGAGCCGTTCTAAGCTTCTTGTAGTGGCTTTAATTTCGGCAGAAAATAAAGACAAAACTGTTCAACATTTGGATATTTTTTTTATTATGCTGTTTGCAAGCTTTCGATGAGCCATCATCAAGAGTGGTTAGATGGACATACAACAAACATCTTTACACATTAAGATGACATCCTATTACAGAGATGTTTGCTATATAACACACACACACACACACACACACACACACACACACACACACACACACACACATATATATATATATATATATATATATATATATATATATATATATATTGTACAAAGGAGTCTGGTATACATGAAAATGCGAGTCATGGTTCATCATTTCTCCTTTGAGTGGGTAACAGCGACAGACAGTCACTTGCAAAACATGCACGTGGTAGTCATTCGTATTCTTGCAAAATCCAACCACGGAGAAGGAAGAAAAGAATGGAGAGAAGAAAGAATGAAAAAGAAGAAATAAATCTATAAAATAACGACGAAAGAAAGGAAGAAGGATCAGTGATAAGAGAAAAGAAAGAAAAAAGTAACAGACTGACAAAGAAAAATTTCCAAAAATTTATGGAAAGAAAGAAAGAAAGAAAGAAAGAAAGAAAGAAAGAAAGAAAGAAAGAAAGAATAAGCTAACTCGGAAAGAGAAAAAAAACATTGTACAAAGAAAGAATAAAAAGAACGAAGAAAGAAAGAAGAGCTAACTAGAAAAGAAGAAAACATTATTGAAAGAAAGAGAGAAAGAAAGAAAGAAAGAAAGAAGTGCTAACTAGAAAAGAGGAAAACATTATTAAAGAAAGAAAGAAAGAAAGAAGAATAGCTAACTCGAAAAGAGAAAAAATTGTAGAAAGAAAGAAAGAAACAAGGAAAGAAAGAAAGAATAGTTAACTCGAAGAGAGAAAGAAAGAAAGAAAAGCTAACTCGAAAAGAGAAAAAATTGTAGAAAGAAAGAAAGAAACAAGGAAAGAAACAAGGAAAGAAAGAAAGAAACATGGAAAGAAAGAAAGAATAGTTAACTCGAAGAGGGAAAGAAAGAAAGAAAGAAAGAAAGAAAGAAAGAAAGAAAGAAAGCAAGAAAGAAAGAAAAGCTAACTCGAAAAGAGAAGAAATTGTAGAAAGAAAGAAAGGAAGAAGAGCTATCTAGAAAAGAGGAAAATATTATTGAAAGAAAGAAAAGAAAGAAAGAAAAAAAGCTAACTCGAAAAAAAGAAGAAATTGTAGAAAGAAAAAAAGGAAGAAGAGCTATTCGTAGAAAAGAGGAAAACATTATTGAAAGAAAAGAAAGAAAGAAAGAAAGAAAGAAAGAAAGAAAGAAAAGCTAACTCGAAAAGAGAAGAAATTGTAGAAAGAAAGAAAGGAAGAAGAGCTATCTAGAAAAGAGGAAAACATTATTGAAAGAAAGAAAGAAAGAAAGAAAGAAAGAAAGAAAGAAAGAAAGAAAGAAAAGTTAACTCGAAAAGAGAAGAAATTGTAGAAAGAAAGAAAGGAGCTATCTAGAAAAGAGGAAAACATTATTGAGAGAAAGAAAGAAGGAAAGAAAGAAAGAAAGAAAGAAAGAAGCAAAGAAAGAAGGAAAGAAAGAAAGAAAGAAAGAAGAATAGCTAACTCGAAAAGAGAAAAAATTGTAGAAAGAAAGAAAGAAACAAGGAAAGAAACAAGGAAAGAAAGAAAGAATAGTTAACTCGAAGAGGGAAAGAAAGAAAGAAAGAAAGAAAGAAAGAAGGAAAGAAAGAAGGAAAGAAAGAAAGAAAGAAAGAAAGAAGAATAGATAACTCGAAAAGAGAAAAAAATTGTAGAAAGAAAGAAAGAAACAAGGAAAGAAACATGGAAAGAAAGAAAGAATAGTTAACTCGAAGAGGGAAAGAAAGAAAGAAAGAAAAGAAAAGAAAAAGAAAGAAAAAAGAAAAGAAGAGCTAACTAGAAAAGAAGAAAACATTATTGAAAAAAAGAAAGAAAGAAAGAAAGAAAAGAAAAGAAAGAAAGAAAAAAGAAGAAAGGAAGAAAGAAAGAAAAGAAGAAAGAAAGAAGGAAAGAAAGAAAGAAAGAAAGAAAAGAAAGAAAAGAAAGAAGAAAGCTAACTCAAAAAAGAGAAAAAAATTGTAGAAAGAAAGAAAAGAAACAAGGAAAGAAACAAGGAAAGAAAGAAAGAATAGTTAACTCAAGAGAGAAAGAAAAGAAAGAAAAGCTAACTCGAAAAGAGAAAAAAATTGTAAAGAAAAAAGAAAGAAAACAAGGAAAGAAATAAGGAAAGAAAAAAAGAAACATGGAAAAAAAAGAAAGAATAGTTAACTCGAAAGAGGGAAAAAAAGAAAGAAAGAAAGAAAGAAAAAAAGCTAACTCGAAAAGAGAAGAAATTGTAGAAAGAAAAGAAAGGAAGAAGAGCTATCTAGAAAAGAGGAAAAACATTATTGAAAGAAAGAAAAGAAAGAAAGAAAAGAAAAGCTAACTCGAAAAGAGAAGAAATTAGAAAGAAAGAAAAGAAGAAGAGCGCCCAGAAAGAGGAAAAACATTATTGAAAGAAAGAAAGAAAAGAAAAGAAAGAAAAAAGAAAGAAAGAAAGAAAGAAAAGAAAAGCTAACTGAAAAGAGAAGAAATTGTAGAAAGAAAGAAAAAGAAAAAGAGAAACAAAAGAGGAAAACATTATTGAAAAAAGAAAGAAAGAAAGAAAAAAAAGAAAGAAAAGAAAGAAAGAAAAGTTAACTGAAAAAGAGAAGAAATTGTCTAAAGAAAGAAAGGGAGCATGTTATAGAAAAGAGGAAAACTATTTATTGAGAGAAAGAAAATCTAGGAAGAAAAGAAAAGAAAGAAAGAAAAGTCGACAAAGAAAAGAAGGAAAGAAAGAAAGAAAGAAAGAAGAATAGCCTGCGTATCAAAGAGAAAAATTGTAGAAAGAAAGAAAGAAACAAGGAAAAAAAGGAAAGAAAGAAAAAGAATAGTTAACTGCGAAGAGGAAAAGAAAGAACAGAAAGAAAGAAAGAAAGAAGGGAAAGAAAGAAGGAAAAGAAAAGAAAAGAAAGAAAAGAAAAGAAAGAAAAGCTAGAATAGCTAACCTGAAAAGAGAAAAAATTGTAGAAAGAAAAGAAAGAAACAAGGAAAGAAACATGGAAAAGAAAGAAAAGAATAAGTTAACTCAGAAGAGGGAAAAAATTTTGAAAGAAAAAGAAAGAAAAGAAAGAAAGAAAGAAGCAAAAGTTAACTGAAAAGAGAAGAAATTGTCAGAAAACAAAGAAAGGAAGAAGAGCTATCTAGAAAAGAGGAAAATGTTTCATCCCAAAAAGAAAGAAAGAAAGAAAGAAAGAAAGAAAGAAAAAAAAGCTAACTCCAAAGAGAAGAAATTGTAAAAAGGAAGAAGAGCTATCTAGAAAAGAGGAAAACATTATTGAAAGAAAGAAAGAAAGAAAGAAAGAAAGAAAAAAAGTGCATAACCCGAAAAAGGAGAAGAAATTGGATTTGAAGAAAGAAAGGAAGAAGAGTATCTAGAAAAGCATGCAAAACATTATTGAAAGAAAGAAAGAAAGAAAGAAAACAAAGAAAAGCTAACCTGAAAAGAGAAGAAATTGTAGAAAGAAAGAAAGGAAAAGAGCTTATCTAGAAAAGAGGAAACATATTGAAAGAAAGAAAGAAAGAAAGAAAGAAAGAAAAGTTAACTCCGAAAAGAGAAGAAATTGTAGAATCACTGAAGAAAGAAGAGAACTAGAAAAGAGGAAAACATTAAAAAAAGAAAGAAAGAAAGAAAGAAAGGAAAGAAAAGAAAGAAAGAAAAGCTAACCTGAAAAAGAAGAAATTGTAGAAAGTATCTAATTAGAAAAGAGGAAAAAACATTATTGAAAGAAAGAAAGAAAGAAGGAAAGAAAGAAAGAAAGAAAGAAGAGCTAACTAGAAAAGAAGAAAACATTATTGAAAGAAAGAAAGAAAGAAAGAAAGAAGGAAAGAAAGAAGGAAAGAAAGAAAGAAAGAAGGAAAGAAAAGAAAAAAGAAAGAAAGAAAGAAAAAAAGAAAGAAAGAAGAGCTAACTAGAAAAGAAGAAAACATTATTGAAAAAAAGAAAGAAAGAAAGAAAAAGAAATTTAAAAAAAGAAAGAAAGAAAAGAAAGAAAAAGAAAGAAGGAAAGAAAGAAAAGAAAGAAAGAAGAGCTAACTAGAAAAAAAGAGGGAAAACATTATTAAAGAAAGAAAGAAAGAAAATAAGAATAAATTAACTGAAAAGAGAAAAAAATTGTAAAGAAAGAAAAGAAAGAAAACAAGGAAAGAAAGAAAGAATAGTTAACTGAAGAGAGAAAGAAAGAAAGAAAAGCTAACTCCTGAAAAGAGAAAAAATTGTAGAAAAAGAAAGAAAAGAAACAAGGAAAAGAAACAAGGAAAGAAAGAAAGAAACATGGAAAGAAAGAAAGAATAGTTAACTCGAAGAGGGAAAGAAAGAAAGAAAGAAAGAAAGAAAGAAAGAAAGAAAAGCTAACTCGAAAAGAGAAGAAATTGTAGAAAGAAAGAAAGGAAGAAGAGCTATCTAGAAAAGAGGAAAAACATTATTGAAAAGAAAAAAAAAAAGAAAGAAAGAAAGAAAGAAAGAAAGAAAAGCTAACTCGAAAAGAGAAGAAATTGTAGAAAGAAAGAAAGGAAGAAGAGCTATCTAGAAAAGAGGAAAACATTATTGAAAGAAAGAAAGAAAGAAAGAAAGAAAGAAAGAATGAAAAGCTAACTGAAAAGAGAAGAAATTGTAAAAGAAAAGAAAAGGAAGAAGAGCTATCTAGAAAAGAGGAAAACATTATTGAAAGAAAGAAAGAAAGAAAGAAAGAAAGAAAGAAAGAAAAGCTAACTCGAAAAGAGAAGAAATTGTAGAAAGAAAGAAAGGAAGAAGAGCTATCTAGAAAGAGGAAAACAAAAAGAAAGAAAGAAAGAAAGAAAGAAAGAAAGAAAAGCTAACTGAAAAGAGAAGAAATTGTAGAAAGAAAGTAGAAAGCCAAAAAAGTGATTGAAATGAAGAAAAGAACTAAAAGAAATTCAGAAAGAAAAATTATTATTATTGAAAGAAAAAAAGAAAGAAAAGAAAAGAAAGAAAAAAAAATTAACTCCAAAAAAAGAGAAGAAATTATAGAAAGAAAAACTTTGGAAGAAGAGCTATCTAGAAAAAGAGGAAAACATTATTGAAAGAAAGAAAAGAAGAAAGAAAGAAAGAAAAAGAAAAAAAGAAAGAAAGAAAAGAAAAGAAGTCAAAAGAAAGAAATTTTAGAAAGAAAAGAAAGGAAGAAGAGCTTATCTAGAAAAGAGGAAAACATTATTGAAAGAAAGAAAAGAAAGAAAGAAAAAAAAGAAAGAAAAGCTAACCTTTAAGAGAAGAAATTGTAGAAAGGAAGAAGAGAATCTAGAAAAGAGGAAAAAATTATTGAAAGAAAGAAAGAAAAAAGAAAAGAAAAGATTAACTCAAAAAAGAGAAGAAATTGTAGAAAGAAAGAAAGGAAGAAGAGCTATCTAGAAAAGAGGAAAAACATTATTGAAAGAAAAGAAAGAAAAGAAAGAAAGAAAAGAAAGAAAAAAAAAAAGAACCCTGAAAAGAGAAGAAATTGTAGAAAGAAAGAAAAGGAAGAAGAGTCTATCTAGAAAAGAGGAAAAAGATTATTGAGAGAAAGAAAGAAAGAAAAGAAGGAAAAAAGAAAAGAAAAGAAAAGAAAGAAAGAAGGAAAAAAGGAAAAGAAAAGAAGGAAAGAAAAAAAAGAAAAGAAGAATAAAAACTCGAAAAGAGAAAAATTTGTAGAAAGAAAGAAAGAAACAAGGAAAAGAAAAAAAGGAAAACATGAGAAAAAAAACATGGAAAGAAAGAAAAGAATAGTTAACTGAAGAGGGAAAAAAAAGAAAGAAAGAAAGAAAGAAAGAAAGAAAGAAAAGCTCACTCGAAAAGAGAAGAAATTGTAGAAAGAAAAAAAAAATAGAAAAGCTATCTAGAAAAGAGGAAAACATTATTGAAAGAAAGAAAGAAAGAAAGAAAGAAAGAAAGAAAGAAAAGCTAACTCGAAAAGAGAAAAATTGTAGAAAGAAAGAAAGGAAGAAGAGCTATCTAGAAAAGAGGAAAACATTATTGAAAGAAAGAAAGAAAGAAAGAAAGAAAGAAAAGCTAACTCGAAAAGAGAAGAAATTGTAGAAAGAAAGAAAGGAAGAAGAGCTATCTAGAAAAGAGGAAAACATTATTGAAAGAAAGAAAGAAAGAAAAGCTAACTCGAAAAGAGAAGAAATTGTAGAAAGAAAGAAATGAAGAAGAGCTATCTAGAAAAGAGGAAACCATTATTGAAAGAAAAAAAGAAAGAAAGAAAGAAAGAAAGAAAAAATTTAACTCAAAAAGAGAAGAAATTGTAGAAAGAAAGAAAGGAAGAAGAGCTATCTAGAAAAGAGGAAAACATTATTGAAAGAAAGAAAGAAAGAAAGAAAAGTTAACTCGAAAAGAGAAGAAATTGTAGAAAGAAAGAAAGGAAGAAGAGCTATCTAGAAAAGAGGAAAACATTATTGAAAGAAAGAAAGAAAGAAAGAAAGAAAGAAAGAAAGAAAGAAAAGCTAACTCGAAAAGAGAAGAAATTGTAGAAAGGAAGAAGAGCTATCTAGAAAAGAGGAAAACATTATTGAAAGAAAGAAAGAAAGAAAGAAAGAAAAGTTAACTCAAAAAGAGAAGAAATTGTAGAAAGAAAGAAAGGAAGAAGAGCTATCTAGAAAAGAGGAAAACATTATTGAAAGAAAGAAAGAAAGAAAGAAAAAAGAAAGAAAGAAAGAAAGAAAAGTTAACTCGAAAAGAGAAGAAATTGTAGAAAGAAAGAAAGGAAGAAGAGCTATCTTGAAAAGAGGAAAAAATTATTGAGAGAAAGAAAGAAAGAAAGAAGGAAAGAAGGAAAGAAAGAAAGAAAGAAAAGAAAAGAAAAGAAAGAAGGAAGGAAAAAACAAGGAAAAAAAAAGAAAGAAAACATGGAAAGAAAGAAAGGATAGTAATTGAAGAGGGAAAGAAAAGAAAGAAAGAAAGAAAGTAACTGAAAGAAAGAAAAGAAAAGAAAGAAAAGTTAACTCGAAAAGAAGAAATTGTGAAAGAAAAGGAAGAAAGAATAGCTAACTAGAAAAGAGGAAAAACATTATTGAAAGAAAGAAAGAAAGAAAGAAAGAAAGTAAGAAAGAAAGAAAGAAAGAAAAGAACTGAAAAAGAGAAAAAGAAAAGAATTCTAACTAGAAAAGAGGAAAACATTATTGAAAGAAAAAAGAAAGAAAGAAAGAAAGTAAGAAAGAAAGAAAGAAAGAAAAAGCTAATTGAAAAGAGAAGAAATTGTAGAAAGAATCAAACTAGAAAAGAGGAAAACATTGAAAGAAAGAAAGAAAAGAAAGAAAAAGAAAGAAAAAAGAAAGTAAAGAAAGAAAAGAAAAAGAAAGAAAAGCTAATATGAAAAGAGAAGAAATTGTAGAAAAGAATCTAACTAGAAAAGAGGAAAAATTATTGGGAAAAAAGAAAGAAAAGAAAGAAAAAGAAAGAAAAGAAAGAAAGAAAAGAAAGAAAAGCTAAGAACAAAAGAGAAGAAATTGTAGAAAGAATTTCAAATGAAAGAGGAAAAATTATTGAAAGAAAGAAAGAAAGAAAGAAAACTAAGAAAGAAAAGAAAGAAAGAAAAGCTAACTGAAAAATCAAGAAATTGTAGAAAGAATCTAACTAGAAAAGAGGAAAAAATTGAAAGAAAGAAAGAAAGAAAAAAAGAAAGAAAAAAGAAAGCAAGAAAGAAAGAAAAGAAAGAAAAGCTAATTTGAAAAGAGAAGAAATTGTAGAAAGAATCTAACTAGAAAAGAGGAAAAATATTATTGAAAGAAAGAAAGAAAGAAAGAAAGAAAAAAAGAAAAAGAAAGAAAAAAAGCTAACTTGAAAAAGAGAAGAAATTGTAGAAAGAATCTAACTAGAAAAGAGGAAAAACATTATTGAAAGAAAGAAAGAAAGAAAGTAAGAAAAAAGAAAAGAAAGAAAAGCTAACTTGAAAAGAGAAGAAATTGTAGAAAGAATCTAACTAGAAAAGAGGAAAACAAATTGAAAGAAAGAAAGAAAAAAAGAAAAGAAAGAAAAGAAAGTAAGAAAAGAAAGAAAGAAAGAAAAAAGCTAACTTGAAAAGAGAAGAAATTGTAGAAAGAATCTAACTAGAAAAGAGGAAAACATTATTGAAAGAAAGAAAGAAAGAAAGAAAGAAAGAAAGAAAAGCTAACTTGAAAAGAGAAGAAATTGTAGAAAGAATCTAACTAGAAAAGAGGAAAACATTATTGAAAGAAAGAAAGAAAGAAAGAAAGTAAGAAAGAAAAAAAGAAAGAAAAGCTACCTCGAAAAGAGAAGAAATTGTAGAAAGAATCTAACTAGAAAAGAGGAAAACATTATTGAAAGAAAGAAAGAAAGAAAGAAAGAAAGAAAGAAAGAAAGAAAGTAAGAAAGAAAGAAAGAAAGAAAGAAAAGCTAACTTGAAAAGAGAAGAAATTGTAGAAAGAATCTAACTAGAAAAGAGGAAAACATTATTGAAAGAAAGAAAGAAAGAAAGAAAGAAAGAAAGTAAGAAAGAAAGAAAGAAAGAAAAGCTAACTTGAAAAGAGAAGAAATTGTAGAAAGAATCTAACTAGAAAAGAGGAAAACATTATTGAAAGAAAGAAAGAATAAAAGAAAGAAATTAAGAAAGAAAGCAAGAAAGAAAGAAAGAAAGAAAAGCTAACTTGAAAAGAGAAGAAATTGTAGAAAGAATCTAAATAGAAAAGAGGAAAACATTATTGAAAGAAAGAAAGAAAGAAAGAAAGAAAGTAAGAAAGAAAGAAAGAAAGAAAAGCTAACTTGAAAAGAGAAGAAATTGTAGAAAGAATCTAACTAGAAAAGAGGAAAACATTATTGAAAGAAAGAAAGAAAGAAAGAACGCTAACTCGAAAAGAGAAAAAATTGTGGAAATTAAGTAAGAAAGAAATTTATATAATATATAGTAAAGAGAAAAGAGGAAAAAATGAAAAGATTTTGTAAGGAAGAAAGAAAGTATATTATAATATATATAATAAGTGAAAACTAAAAAAAAAGATGAAACACGAAGAAAATTTTATGAAATAAGAGTTCAATGAATTAAAATGCTCAGACTTTAAAAGAAATAAATAAATAAAGAAAGAAACGAAACGAAGAATACAGACAGAAACGAGTAAATATATATATATATATATAAGTAAGAAAGAAACAAGCAAGAACTCATTGCAAAAGAAAAGAAAAAGAGAATATTTTTTGGAAAGAAAGAAAGAAAAAGAAAAAAAGAAAGAAAGAAAAGGAAGCGCTAACTCGAAAAGAGAAAAAATTGCGGAAAGTAAAAAAGAAAGAAATTCATATAATATACAGTAGAGAGAAAAGACAAAAATGAAAACATTTTGTAAGAAAGGGAAGAAAGAAAAAAAAATAATGAATATTATATATAATAAGTGAAAAATAAAAAAAAAGATGAAAAAGAGAGAAAATTCTATAAAATAGATCAATGAATTAAAATGCTCAGACTTTGAAAGAAAGAAAGAAAGAAAGAAAGAAAGAAAGAAAAGAAAGAAAGAAAGAAAGAATGCAAAAGACACGAAAAGTACAGACAGGAACGAGTAAAAAAAAATATATATATACAAGTAAGAAAGAAACAAACAAGAGATCATTGCAAAAAAGAAAATATATTTTTGGAAAGAAAGAAGAGTTAAAACGAAAATAGAAAATCATTGTGGAAAGAAAGAAAGAAAGAAAGAAAGAAATAAAGAAAGAAAGAAAGAAAGAATTCAAATAGACGCAAAGAGGAACAATCTGGCGCGGGTTTTGTGCCCAGCAGAGGAAGTGTAGCCGTGTGTCGATTGAAACTCATCCAACTATAGACACGTGACATAAAAACAATGGCGCAGTCATTTGACGGTGACGGTGAGAATGAACGAAATGTCGCGTGCGAACTATTCCAAAAAACATGGGCGTCCACACAGAACGACGGTCCCATCACTAAGTCGAAAGGCCGGAGAAATGAAGTTCACAACAAGAATATTTCAAACACGAAACAAGGGAAATTGTATATAAGTGGGAATTGAAGCAAAAAGAATGGCCAAAAGAAAGACCAAAAGGAAGGAAGGAAGGAAGGAAGGAAGGAAGGAAGGAAGGAAGGAAGGAAGGAAGGAAGAAAGAAAGGAAGGAAGGAAGGAAGGATGGGACGGCATTAAGAGTATTAAATATAAGAAAGAAAGAAAGAAAGAAAGAAATAAGAAGTGGTTTGGTTTGGTTTGTTTTGTTTTACGACAAATCAACCACAATGGTTTATTTAATGCCGACAAGGTTTTTATTACTAGTAATATTTTTTTCAAAAAATGTATTGCTGGTAATGTTTATATATATATATATATATATATATATATATATATATATATATATATATATTCTTAACGTATTGCTGGTAATAATGTATTTCTGGTAATAAATATTTCTTCAAAATATCATTACTGGTAATAATTCTTACAATAACGTATTGCTGGTGTTAAAACCTATTTTTATACTTTCATAGTGTTTGACCCCAGTTTGCGGTTTAAATATTTGCCCATAGCTGGGACCCGAATATGTACTACCACTTCGGGTCAGGATGGACCTGGAAGCAGCAGCAATTTAGAAGTGATTCCACGCTCCTTAAAATCAGAGGCCTTGCTGTTGGCTGTCGTTTATCGTCTTACCCAGGACGCGGATGTAGTTTATAGGAAAGAAGGAATGAAGGAAGGGAGAAGATTAAGAGCATGAGCAATGAGAATTAGAAAGAAAGAAAGAAAGAAAGAAAGAAGGAAAGAAAGAAATTCATCTTTATATACAATATGAGAGAACGGAAGTAAGTTTCAACTTACTTCCGTTCCGGAATGAAAAAGAAAGGAAAGAAAGAAAAAATGAAGAAAATATTTAATGACCATTTCAACAAAAATCAAATTATCATTTATGCATTATATCACTCGAGAAATAAATAAATAAAGAAAGAAAGAAAGAAAGAAAGAAAGAAAGTTATATAATATACATTAAGAGGAAAATGAACAAAAGTGAAAATGTTTTGAAAGAAAGAGATAAAGAAAGAAGATTAAGAGAGTGGCCTATGAAGAATGAAAAAGAAAGAAAAAAAGGAAAAAAGAAAAAGACGAATGAATGAAGAAAGAAAGGAAAAAGAAATTCGTATTATAGTCAATAAGAAAGAAATTAAGAAAGAAAAAAACAAACAAGGAAACCAAGTATGACGAACATATTTAATGAAAGTTTCAATAAATAGGAAATTATCATTTATTCAAATTTTCCCGTAAGAAAGAAAGAAAGCAATATAAAAAGAAAGAAAAGAAAAATAAAAAAAAATAAAAAAAAAATTTATTGTATACAATAAGAGAGAAATGAAGAAAAACGAAAACATTTTGAAAGAAAGAAAGAAAGAACGAAATATAGAAATATAAAAAGAAAGAAAAATAAGAAAGAAAAGAAAAAAGAAAGAAAAGAAAAAAGAATTTTTTATTGTATACAATAAGGGAGAAACGAAGAAAAATGAAAACATTTTGAAATAGAGAGAGAACGAAAGAAAGAAAGAAAGAAAAAGAAAAGAAAAAAATTATTGTATACAATAAGAGAGAAATGAAGAAAAATGAAAACATTTTGAAAGAAAGAGAGAACGAAAGGAAGAAAGAAAAATATAAAAAGAAAAAAAGAAAGAAACGAAAAAGAAAGAAAAGAAAAAAGAATTTTTTATTGTATACAATAAGAGAGAAATGAAGAAAAATGAAAACATTTTGAAATAGAGAGAGAAAGAAAGAAAGAAAGAAAGAAACAAAGAAAGAAAAAAAAAGAAAAGAAAAAAAATTATTGTATACAATAAGAGAGAAATGAAGAAAAATGAAAACATTTTGAGAGAAAGAGAGTACGAAAGAGAGTACGAAAGAAAGAAAGAAGGAAAGAAATATAAAAAGAAAGAAAAAGAAAGAAACGAAAAAGAAAGAAAAGAAAAAGAATTTTTTATTGTATACAATAAGAGAGAAATGAAGAAAAATGAAAACATTTTGAAATAGAGAGAGAAAGAAAGAAAGAAAGAAATTCATAGTACCGTATATACTCACGTATCATACGACTTTTGAAGTCCTAATTCTGAAGCTAATTTTAAGAGGGTCGTTTCATACATTTAGATATAAAATTAGCGTATGTACTTCTGGCGCTGGCTACTCCGTTGACCAAACTATCCATCCATTTCAGTTATGTGCTATGCGTGTAACACGCTTAGGCGATCATGTATCCTTCGATACATGACTGACGAGGTAGATTTTTTCCCCGCAGTTGGTAGCCATTTCTTTCTGCGGTAGACCAGGTGCCATCCAAGGCTATAGAACCCGGTCTATCCTGCTATTTACCCATACCTGGTGGGGAGAGAAGAAGTGGATTCATACCTTTCCCAAGGGTATTAACACGTAAGTGAATGTAATGGATTCGACTGGAATTCGAACTCGGCTCTCCGATTCCGCAATCCGATACTGTAGTCAAATTAATCTCAAAAATTAAGTCTTCAAAGGTCACAAGGGACACAAATATATACAATAAACAGAAATTGAAGAAAAGTGAAAGCATTTTAAACGAACGAAAGAAAGAAGAAATATTTAAAAGGAGAAATATTTAACACCTTCAATAAATATGAAATTAACATTTATTCAACGTCTCGCAAGAAAGAAAGGAGTTCCAAAGATGAGAAGTACTAGAATAGAATAAACGTTTGCATCTAGCTAGTTCAACACTAAAACAGTGAGACCTAATTGCCAATCTAGTAGCAGGTTTAAATTCCTGCAGTCAAGGCATTAAGGAAAAAATTTCCTCAGAACAGTTGCCATGAAAATATTTGGTGAAAAAGACAGATAGATGATTGAAAGAGAAACAGTAGAAGAAGTGAAAGTGAAAGAGAAAATGAAAGAGAAATGAAACAAAAGTATTTGTTGAGAGATGAAAAGGAGGAACTGTTGCTAAAGTTTGAAAAGGAGAAAAGGAAGAAATATACAAAATTACTCAACAAAAAATTTAAAAGGAGAAATATTTAATAACTTCAATATGAAATTGACATTTATTCAACGTCTCGCGAGAAAGAAGGAATATAAGAAATTCATAGAATATGCAATGATTTGTACAATTCATGCGATATACAAGTGAAACACGTCGAAAAAAAGAAAACATTTTAAATGTAATAAATAAAAGAAAGGAAAAAATATTTAACGACAATTTCAATAAACACATCCTGATATAACTATCGATTATTCTATATAACAAGTACTGAAGATGCTTATCTATATTCAGACACGTGTATCTGTACGTATTATTCGCGCATACAGGTGTCATTTGATACATCACTCTCTCTCTCTCCCTCTCTCTCTCTCGGTCGCTTGTTATATATATATATATATATATATATATATATATATATATATTTGGTTGGATTGATGTTTTGTGACCCTGGGTTTCGCGCTTTGATCGCTTTCTAATAAAGTACTGCGTATATATATATAAATAATTATATATATATATATATATATATATTCACACACACACACACACACACACATATATATATATATATATATACTTTTCACACACACACACACACACACATATATATATATATAGACTATACACACACACACACACACAAACATATATATATATATATATATATATATATAGACTTTTCACACACACACACACACACACATATATATATATATATATAAGTATAGGAGTGGTGTATACAGAATAGATTTTAATAACCAAAAAATATTGTTCTTAAAAGAGTGCTCAATAGAGAGTAGAGCAAATATTCTATATTCAACGCCATCACTTGAAAAAGACACCAGAAGTGTTGAAACAAAATGGCTATTTTTTAGTGATTTTATAACATGTTTATGTTATATTTTTCGAATAATTATATATATATATATATATATATATATATATATATATATATATATACAGAGAGAGAGAGATAGGAAATATGTTTGCGTGGCTATTGAGTGTATGTGACTCGTAGGCATTTAAATGTTTGTATCTTCCTGATTTTAAGTGTCTCCAATTTGTAATTTGCATCTTGGGTTGTTTCATATGATAGCAAACATACATTCTGTTTACATATGTTTAAAAGTAAATAAGAAAGCACATTCTATTCTTGTGTTCATTTGGATTAAATTGAATGAAAGTACTAAGCTTGAACATGGAACAGAGCTTAGTACTTTAATTCAATTTAATTCAAATAATTATATTGAAGTTTTCGGCTCTTGTTTTGAAACATGAGAACTCTTATGTAGCGTGTTGGAATTATATTTTAAATAAATAATTATATATATACATATATATATATATATATATATATATATATATATATATATATATATATATATTTGAGCTTCAAAAACACGTAATGTTTTATAATGTGGAGATTTTGCTTCGTAGTGAAGGAGTTTGCGCGTCACAAGGAACCTGAATGCAAGCCCGTCGGGAGCTCCTTCTCTTGCTAGGGTCACCCATGGCGTAAAGGATTTAGGGAATGCGGGTAGGCGGTCAAGTCGACATTCTACATACGGGAACGAGTCAGCAGACCGATATAAGCTGTCATCACGGAAACTACCTCCCAAGGCCTGGTTTGCCGCAGCGAATGATATCAGGCTGAAGTGTGTATGTGCCATAGAGTGGCGACCCATGGACACCTCAAACAATTCGCAATCAAGGTTTTATGCTCAAAGACTTTTCTTGTCACCACGTCTAAAGAATCAATTGAAGAAGAGCAGTGTACGAAAAAAAACTACATCTTTCGAAAACACCAGAAGACAAATAAGAGACGAAGGAAACCCCCACCCACACACACACAAATCAAGAGCTCTTATCCCCTGAAACATCCTACCCTACCATGAAGTTGTTGCAAACGTCTCTTCAGATCAAACGTACGACTCATTTCACAATGAATGAAATGTCGTTGAGCACCCCAATAATATATATATATATATATATATATATATATATATATATATATTGAACAATAAAAAAAATATTAAAATTGAAATCTTCAGACACACTGGGTTGTAGATTAATATTCTTTCGTTTTTTTATTATTATTTCATTTAGATTCCCTCGACTAGTTTCAGAAAACGGCCATCATCAGGAGAAGAAATATTTCTGCTTGCTG